GGCGCCCCCATTTTATTCTTTTAATTGATTGCTAATAAGATAGTTTATAAAGAAAAGGAATACCATTTAAAACAATGATGGGGAGGGGTAGATGGGGAAGAGGAGTAATTTCCAGAGATTATTTTGTTTGAATATTTTGATTGGTAGAAGAAACACATTTGACTGTAGAAATTTTAGAAGGAACACATTAATTTTTTGGTATATGCCCTTCTAACCTTTTTTCCTTAATAGATTTTTCTTGAAGGTAGGCATCCAACTTAAAAGCAGAATGATGGTATTAATTATAACAAAATTTCATTGATTAAAAAAAAGTATTAAAACACACCCAAAACAGGAACGCCTAGGTGGCTCAGTCAGTTCCGCATCTGCCTTCAGCTCAGGTCTTGATCCCAGGGTCCTGGGATTAAGCCCCACGTCTGGCTCCTTGCTCAGTGGGGAGCCTCCTTCTCCCTCTCCCTCTGCTTGCCTCTCCCCCTGCTTGTGTGCTCTGTCAAATAAATAAAACCTTAAAAATTAAAAAGATTTAAAAATACACCCAAACAATTATTGTGTAGAAAATATCTCAAATTTCTAACAGTAGTTATTCTGGGGAAGATAGAAGGTTTGGTTTATTGAGGGACTTGTGGAGGCAAAAGGATATTTTAGCTTTATCTCTAATATTCTAATATTTTAAAAATAGAAAAAAAAAAAAAATAGATTCAGTGTAGGGTACCTGTATGGCTCACTTGGTTAAGTGCCTGATTTTGGTTCAGGTCACGATCTCTTGTTGTACCCAAGTTTTCGCATCTGAGAGACCGCCAAGGAGCCAAGCACCGATGCAATCGCATGAGGGTTTATTTGACAAGCTTAAGCCTGGGCCCAAGTAAACCTGACACAGCGGAGTAAGGACTTGGACCCCGAGCCAGATTACAGTCAGAGTTTTTAAAAGCAGAGTTGGGGTGGATTCGGCGGTGGGTGAGGACAAAGGGGGTGTTCAGAAGGGCTATCAGGGTAAAGACGACTGTCAGGATATTGAAGGCCTGGCTACTATCAAGCCAAGGCCGTTTTTCCCTTTAATGAGGCACTAGCATGAAGACAATTGGGAGTTTCCTGGTGGAACGTTACATTCTTGCTATCAAGCGTCCTTGTTAGTGAGATTTAGGTTTAGAAGAAATTTATTTACTTTTCCTTCTACCTCAGCCTCCTTCAGTTTTGTTTATGGAGGGGAGGGTGACATTAGGGCTTAAGGAACTGAGTTATTGGTCTCTGGAAATTGGGCTAGACTCGAGGTGGGTACAGCCTTGTTTTTCTTGGCCTCCACACTCTGAGTCCCGGGATGGAGCTGTGTCAGTCTGCTTCTCCCTCTCCCATTCCCTCCGCCCTCCCCCACTTGCGCACTGACACACACTCTCTCTCAATCTCTCAAATAAAAATTTAAAAAATCTTTAAAAAATTAAAAGAATAGATTCAGTGTGTTACATAAGTAATTAAATATCAATTAAAAAGAAAAGAAAAAGAAAAGAAATAAAGCCAAATAAATTGGCTCAGTCAAAGCCAAATAAATTGGCTCAGTCAATGGAGCATGTGACTCTTGATCTTGGGGTCGTGAGTGCAAGCCCAACAATGGGAGTAGAGATGCCTTAAAAAAATAAAAAATGCAAAACAAACAAAAAAAATCCAAACATAAAAGGGTTACCACATGTATAAAATTTTGAAGGGGGTGATGAATGACAGTTAACATGTCTAGTCTTGGCAGAGAAAACAATTTTAGGAGCCTTGCCCTTACTATCATTTCCTGACTCATTAGTTCCGGAACCATTAATAGTGTATCACATGATTGAGAAATGTTGGAATCATCACAATCCTCAGAAATTCAGGTAGCCAAATTGGTTTTTTTATTTTTTATTTTCCTCCAGAAAAATGTTCCTGATTATCAACTTTGAGTGACTCTTAAAGAAAACACTGTTTACAGTCAAACAACTTAATTTAACAAACATATATTGGACATCTACATATTTTTAAAATATTCAGGACCATTTGGAATTACAGCAACAGATACTCCATTAGGAGATTAAATAATTTAGTTGCATAATTTTGTTTTCATCTTTTTTTTTTTAAAGATTTTATTTATTTATTTGACAGAGAAAGATCACAAGTAGACAGAGAGGCAGGCAGAGAGAGAGAGGGAAGCAAGCTCCCTGCTGAGCAGAGAGCCCGAGGCGGGACTCGATCCCAGGACCCTGAGATCATGACCTGAGCCGAAGGCAGAGGCTTAACCCACTGAGCCACCCAGGCGCCCTTTGTTTTCTTTAAAGCATATATAATTCACCTGAAACTTGATGGCTACAACACTTTTTTTCTCATTGTGATGACATCAGAACATCAGGAAACACCAGGGACATCAGATGATTGGGCTCCAGTATACCCACTGCATAACAGGGAGCATCTGTTAATGCTACAGGAATGAGGCAAAGTTTATGATTTTTGCATGATTTTTCTCTATACTAGGTTTTTATCTAATTGGGATGGGGTTGGCATAGTGAAGCCAGCACCCTACATAGGTAGGAGTTAGAAACAAGAAAGATATATTCAGCATGGCTGAGGCATACATAACCCAAGTAATGAGAAAAGCGAAGAATGGAATGACCGATTGTATCAATTCATTGTTCTCCTGGTACCTCCACTGAGGAGTCCTCAAATGCCACTCCTTTAAATTTTCAGGTCTCCTTCAAAAGCTTCAAAAGCCTTGGGCCACATACACCTTCCTCTCCTCTACTGCATAATAGTGTTTTAAGAAATGGTATGTACACCTTTAAGCTTCCGAGGTAGGCAGTACATATTTTTTTATTATACTGTTATATGGAATTCTATGAAAGTGGGGTTTTTTTTACAGTATTTATTTATTTATTTGACAGAGAGATCACAAGTAGGCAGAGAGGCAGGCAGAGAGAGAAGGGAAAGCAGGCTCCCTGCTGAGCAGAGAGCCCAATGTGGGGCTTGATCCTAGGACCCTGAGATCGTGACCTGAGCCCAAGGCAGAGGCTTAACCCCCTGAGCCACCCAGGCACCCCTATGAAATGTTTTTAAAATAAACTGTTCACTCAGTAAAGAGGAATAATAGAATGAACTAGTTAAATATCCACTTACAAAGAATGTTACAATAAAATACAGCAAAGATTAAAAGCAAAAAGAGCAACAATTCCTTATCTATAATTCTCATATCCAAAAAAAGCTCTGCAAACAGAAAGTTTCTTCCTAAATTTGGTGACAAAACTGACCTGACCTGAGGCTCTTTATAGTCTTCAGTTATCACACTTAGTGGTGCTATTCATACATTCACCATAGAAATATTAGTGTATTTGAGAATGGCTGCTATCTTAGACTCTTCTGAGAATTTGAGGAAAATATATGTACTCTATTAGTGTTCTAAAATCTGAAAATTTTGATTTCAAAACACAATTAGCCCTAGGTTTTCAAATAAAGGCTTGTCAAGCAGTATTTCCCTAACCTGTTAATGATATGGTGATTTTATCAAACCCAAAGATGGTTGCAAAAATTATTTTTATTCCATGGTATGTCATGAGGATGAGTCACCAGGAAAAGAGAAAAGGCATATTGGAACAGCTATAGGAATAAACAGGCTGCATCAAAAACTAACACAGGAATGAGCTGGTAAGTAAAGTAGCTATAAGACACGGTATAATTATTAGAAGATATTACTGTATAAAGACAGCATACAGCACTGCTACTAATACTGCCTGCATAAAAATGCAAAGTCCCACTCTTTTGAAGCTTCTTTTATGCATAGTGCTTTTAGGCCATTCTGATTTAGTAGTTCTCAACCTGTTTAAAATTTGAATCTCCTGGAGAGCTTTTTAGAAATAAACTATGCGTGAGCCTCACCTTCAGATATTCTGATTTACTTGATCTAGGGAGGGGCCTTGGCAAGTGTTTTTAAAAATGCCCTACCCCGGCTGGCTTAGTCAGTAGAGCATGCAACTCTTGATCTTGACGTTTTAAGTTCAAGCCTCACGCTGAATGTATAGATTACTTAAAAAAAAAAAAAAAAATCTTAAAAAAACAAAAAACACCCTAGATGATTCTCATGTGCAACAGCAAGAACTCTTAAAAAGTGCTAATACCCAGGCTCTAACCCAGAACAGGTAAATTGGAATCCTTCGAAGTGAAGCCCAGGACAAGATACTCAGGTGATTCCAAAGTATACCCAAAGGTGAAAACCAACGATTGAGACCCTCTCTGTTGCCTGGATTAAGGATTAAGTGTGTCAACTGTTTTTTTCTTTCTTTCTTCCGGAATCAACTCAGTTCTCAATTATCACTGTAGTAGAGTCACCAGTAAAGAATTCTAAGCTTTATCCACTCAATAATGGTGGCTTATTCATGGAATCTCTCTTCAGTTTCAATTTCAATGCAAAAAAGTATGGGGGGGGTGTATGGAAATCACATGAGAAATATTTTTAAATACTTTCAGCAAAATAATCCACACCATTTCAAACTCCTTTAGCATACAGTAAATCATAGTGAAGGATAAAACAGAAAAGTAGAATTCATTTTAGTTGAGTCTATTATCATACAGGAGAGCATAACTTCAGCACAGAATAGGAAATCATAGCATCTTCCAATCAATTCTAGGTAGCAAATAAAAACATAATTACGATAGTTTTCCAGTGACTCTAACTGTTCAGGGTGCCAAAGTAAAACAGATTTCTATATAAATTTCAAAGACAACTAGAAAATCCATTAAAAAGTATTAAATTCAAGATAATGTCTGCTCAAAAATCAACTAAAATATAAGTAAGGTGCACATTTTATGGACAGAAGATAAATCTCTTTTGCTTTTACTTAAAAATAATTTTTTTCATGCATTCTAATGGTCATATGAAAAAGACATTTACTTTTTTTTCATTACTAGCCCTGAGGAAGGAAGAACACATGTGGAGAGCTCCCTAAGTAGCTTCCTAACCATACTCCACACTTTTCACAATTGGAAATGGCAAATAATGGAGGAAATGAGGAGTATATTTATTCAGGCTTCCACACACATCAATTTAAACCACCCAAAACTAAAATTTGGGCAACTGGCACAAGTGGCATTACACTTTTAGGCCAACATACAGCAATATTTAGGGACATCAGAGCTTCATTGCTCAAGAAGCTCTATTTAGCAGAAGAAAAATAAAAGTAAGTTCTATGTACACTTATCTTTCACTACAAAGAGGTTGGCTGTTTCAAGGGAATTAATGAGAGGAAAAATGTGGAATCTCATCACAACGAATATGGGAAGAGCCAGTATTTTCTCTTTGCCAATTACAATTATTCTTCTTAGGGATGACACTTGGAATTGCAAGTTTAGCTGAATTTACCACAGTTTCAACCTCTGTAAATGAAAAGAAGCTTACTCCCTGGGCCAAAACCCCCAAGCAGCAGTTGGGAGTAAGAGGGCAATGAGGACAGAAGAAAACAGATTCACTGCGTTGTTATCAAGAATTGGTTTCCCTGCTATGTACTTCACGTCATTCGCTGGGCTACTGACCACCATGCCAGTGCTTTCATCTAAACCTGGAGTGGAAAAGAAGCAAGTGAGGTGGAAAATCCAAATGACTTGATTTAAAACAAATTAGCTTTTCTCCTCCAAAGAATATAATCTTTGAAAAAGTCTCAACCACTTATAAATTGACTTCAGTGGATAATTATAAGGTGAGAGATATGGAACCCTTGATTAGCAAGGACTTTTTTTGAAATGTGAGTTTTAGTATACCTCAATACCGTTTTCTCAACACTGCTGGAATTCCTTCACTGGAAGAAGGAAGAACATTAAAAGCAGAGATAGCATGAAACTAGAAGACTAGGTCTCCAAGACCAACCTGCGAGATCTTTGAGAATAGGAATCATGTATTTAGCCTCTGCAATGGAAACCCAGGACCCAGTGTGGTGCCAGCACAAAGGAGGCATACAAAGAATTTACTGAAGGAATTAACCTTTCCTACAGCCCACATTAATTTTTTCAATCCACTCAACATGATCAGAAACTTCCCCAGTTAGGGCCCAGTGTAGAATAAAACCTAGGCTCCTAAATAAACAAACAAACAGAAAGACCCAAAAACATAGAGGGAAGGAGAGAGAGAAAGTGAGTGTGTGTGTGTGTGTGTGTAGAGTTAGTGACCTTGATCTTGAACTAAAATCAGACTGCTTCCTCCTTGGTATTTAGATAAGAGAAATGAATCTGAAAGAAAAAACATTCTGATAGGTGGGGAGCAAAGCAGAAGGGTAGGAACAGTATCTTGGTACATGAAGAGAACTGGAAGGACTGTACACAAGGAAACTCCCCAAACTCCCAGCCTCTTACCTGTATGAATCAAAGGAGAAAACATGGTTAGTCAGAATGTGGAGGAAATACACACCTAACAGAATATGTCAGTACAGTGAAATGACAATGCCTCAGAAGCAAAAGCATAAAGCAAAAAGCATAAAGTAAAAGCTCAGAAACAAAGCATAGAAAATTCTGGGGAAAACCAACTCTCCCATATACCTTGAATTGGGGCTAAAAATTCAGTGGGGACAGAAAGCATTATGTCACAGTAGAAAAACAGGTCATATGTGTACAGAGTAGTACAACAATTCTCTCTCAAAGGGATTTGGAAAACAAATGGAAGGTGGAGCATTAAAATGATCTGATCCCAAATGTTCTGCTTTCCTTGGGATTAGGTGAAGTCCCCAAAGCAAAAGTATCTGTTTCCTGCACTATTATCCACCCCAAACAGCTTCTACTCATTGCTCTGTGGAATTAGTTCTCTTTCAATTAATTTAACAAAAAAAATTTTTTTAAAAATCAGAATTGTAGAAAAGACTCTGTCTTGTCATTCCTGGCCTCTTGATTCCTGTATCTTTGGGACTGTTTCCATTGCCATGTTTTTCTCCCCCATATTTCTTTCCCATTTACTACACCAACAAGTTGCAATAATCAAGTGATATACTTACCAGTAAACTGCATTGTAGCTCCTAAATATGAGTCTACAATTGATCCTAGTAATCCAGCCAAACCTCCAAATGCAATAATTGGCCACTGGGGAGCAGAAATGTCTAAATCATTAACAAAAACCAACTGTGTGAGGAAGTACGTGATGCCCACAAAGGTGCCACCAAGTAGACTGGAAGCAAGGCCCACCATTGTGACCCCTCCATTGGTCCCTGAAGAAAAAAAAAACAAACCATAAAATAATCTGGTTAATAATCAACAAACACATAAAATCAAGGAAACAAACAAAATTGGTACCTATCTTATCAAGACCAATTGAAGAAAAGGTTCTCTTTCATACAATCCAAAGACCACAGTCTACTTAAAAAGAAGTCTTTTCTCCTCATTAACTCCTGACATTCTAAGCAATGCAAGGGAATGGTTCCATGAAGCCAAACTGCCTGATTTCAATCATAGTTTTGCCATTTCTAAGTTATGTGACTGTAGTGAAGTTACTTAACTTCTCTTAATATCCTTGTTAGTAAGATGGAAATAATAAAAGAACCAATTCACATGAATATTAAGGGTATTAAAGAGGATGATGATAATGATTAAGAGAAAAAAATGAAAAGGACATGAGGAAGAAAAAGAAGAGAAAGTAGGGGAGAAAAAAGACAAGGAGGAGAAAAAAGACAAGGGAGGGGAGGTGATGACGAAGATAACAATATAGTAGTAGTAGTAGTAGTTAACAGTAACAGGGAACTGAGATCTATGTTAAAGCACTAACCACATACCAGGTCCTCATGAAACACTCTAACATTCTCTTCTTTTTCCTCTCCTCCTGATACGTCTCTGTGTTTCTGTATTGTTTATCTAGGACTTGCTATCATTTCCTGCAAATATTATTTATCATCAATTTAATAGCCGACAGCAATTTTCCAGTTAAGGAGACTAAAATTCTTAACAGTCTCTTAAGTCAGAAACACAGTAAGTCAGATTTTTTTTGTTCATTTCATTTTTTAATGAAATGAACTTAAAGAAACTTAAATACTCACCAACTGGAACTTTTTCCCAGGTTGTTATTAGCCTTGGTGGGCTTTTACTCAGAACCGGACCAACTTCTGAAGCCCATGTGTCTCCAGCAGAGCAGGCCAGTGCAGCCAGGAGAGACAAACACATCCAGGAAGCAGTATACTGCTTCGAAAAATCTATTGGGATTTCCCCGGGGCCATTTTCTATCATGTAGAGCAGGGCCAGCTCAGTGGGCACAGCTCCATTACAGAACACCTGAACCCAATTCCTCTGCCCACCTACAAACAAACAAGTGGATAAAAAGGACAAGAAATGTTTTCTCTTCAGAAGGAAAATCATGCAGTTACAGGAACTTAAAGTTTAAAGAAAGAAAAATTACTACAATTTTAATAATGACTACAAATCAAATGGTACCTTTGCTTACATTCTATATTGTTTTAGAATGATAGATTTTAATGCTTCTAAAATTCTGCTGTTACTATTGTGCTGAAGTAAGGATAAACTAAATTAGGCCGCTACTTAAAATTAATTTCATGCAAAATTTATCTATTTCAACAGTCTAAACATGTTCTGAATATAAGCTTATAGTATCTTGGGATGAAATAAAGTGATAAATTATAAGTAAAATAAATTATAAGTGATGTCAAACATAATTCATTTTACCTTCTTTGTATTCTGAATCTAGACGCTTCTTTATTTCTCCCTTCCATTTAGTGAGTTTTGAAGAAGAAAGGAAAAACATCAGCAAAGAGGTAAAAAAGCTGAAATTTGCAATGGTTAGGATAAATCCAACCACAAGCCCTGAAAGAAACACATACATACACAGAATTATACTCATTCCATACATCTTTGCAGTGAAAAAAAGAATGGAACTTTTTTCAGTTATTTTTTACATTATGACCTGAAATATACATTTCCAAAACATTTTCATTTTTACCAATTCAGGTATTACCAAATAGTAAACTAAAAACTGGTTTGATTAGGGTGCCTGGGTGGCTCAGTGGGTTAAAGCCTCTGCTTTCAGCTCAGGTCATGGTCTCAGGGTCCTGGGATCGAGCCCCACATCGGGCTCTCTGCTCAGCAGGGAGCCTGCTTCCCTCTCTCTCTCTCTCTGCCTGCCTCTCTGCCTGCTTATGATCTGTCAAATAAATAAATAAATAAATCTTAAAAAAAAAATAAAAAAAATAAAAACTGGTTTGATTAAATTGAAAAATTGATAAATTTTTTTTACCATATTTTTACCTCCTTTCAAACACACTGTAAATATATGAATGCATGTTATCATTATAGACATACTTTTTATAATCAAATTGTAGAACACAATAAATAGTAGTGATTTATATATAATATTTGGATAGATAGCTAACTTTCCAAATTAACTGTGGATCTCCCAGGGAGGTTTAGATTGTACAGTCTTTCTAGCTTCTAATTTTTATATTTTCCCTTCATAGCCTGGATCTTTTTACAGGCTAGCTTTTCATGCTTTTCAAAAAAACTTTCACATGCCCTTTTGTTGAGCCCCATAAACTATGTGAGAAGATGGAGATAGTGTTTCTTAGTTATGTTTTAATATGTAAATCTACCAAAATAATCCTGGATTTTATGTGGAATAAAAAATGGAATACTTTCTGTAAATGTGATTTCAGATTTTTAGACTTTTTTTTTTTTATTTCTTTTATTTGGACAAAGAAGAAAGGGGACATCCCTCATTTTTTCATGAGTGAACAATTTCAAGGAAGGCTTATAATAGCTACAGTCTAATCAGAAGAACAAACAAGATTGTGCACATGCACGATTGCATGTGCAAGTGGGTGGGGTGGGGGTAGAGGCAGAGGGTAAAGGAGAGGAGCAGACTCCTAGCTGAGTGTGGAGCGTGACACAGGGCTTGATCTCACGACCCTGAGATCATGACCTGAACCAAAACTGAGTTGGATGCTCAACTACCTGAGCCAGCCGTGTGCTCCCCTATAGGTTATTATATAGAAAAGATGCATATCTGAATTAGCTTTTTTTTTTTCTTAAGATTTTATTTATTTATTTGACAGAATGAGACAAAGTGAGAGGGAACATGAGCAGGGGGAGTGGGAGAGGGAGAAGTAGGCTTCCTGCCAAGCAGGGAACCCAATGTGGGGCTCGATCCCAGGGTCCTGGGATCATGACCTGAGCTGAAGGCAGACGCTTCATGACTGAGCCACCTAGGCACCCTGGAATTAGCTTCCTAAATTACTCAGATGGGGCACCTAGGTGGCTTAATTGGTTAAGTGTCAGAGTCTTGATTTGGGTTCAGGTCATGATTTCAGGTGGTTAGATCGAGCCCTGGATGTCAGGCTCTGGGCATGGAGCCTGCTTGGGATTCTTCCCCTCTCCCTCTGCGCCTCCCAACCCCCCACTGGAATGACTCAGATAATCTTTAAAGGCCTTTGTTACAAATTTTGAAAATGTTCTTAGAGTAAAATTGGTGGTTAAGCATCAGAGTACTCTTGTTTCTATTACCACAATGGTTAGTTAATACTACAAAAATGAATGGAACAGAGGATTTGGGGAAGACAGAAGAGTAGGAAGCACCAGGAAATCTGTCTTCCCACCCAGACAACAATTGCACTGGAAGAATCTAACAAAACTGTTTTGGAACTCTGGAGTCTACTGAAGGCTTATAACTTTCAAAGGAAGGCTTGGAGGGGAAACTGCACTTAACTTTGGTCAATTTCACTTCTTAACAGTGTAGCCCCCTACCCATCTCTCACACCCAGTCCCATGGCAGGCAGGGCAGTAACTGCAGGTACAGTCTGCACACAGCTTGTGGGAGCCAGGTTGGGCAGGAAAGACTTATCGTCCACATACCAGGATTTGATATTTTTTAAAGATTTCATTTATTTATATGACAGAGAAACACAGCAAAAGAGGGAACACAAGCAGGGGGAGTGGGAGAGGGAGAAGCAGACTTCCCACCAAGCAGGGAGCCCAGCGCAGGGCTTGATCCCAGGACCCTGGGATCATTACCTGAGCCAAAGACAGATGCTTAACAACTAAGCCACCCAGGCACGTCTCAGGATTTGTATTCTGATCAATGATTGCTGCTTCTGATTATGGAGGTATAGACATAGAGGCTGGCAGCCGTTATTACACTTCACCCCCCAGCTGTTACAAGCCCTTTCTTGTCTGGCTGAAGAGACTTCCAAAGGATTTGAAGGACTGATGTTAACCCCCCTTCATTTTTCTGTTTTTCCTCCTTTGGAAAGCCAGACATTAAAGACTAGGACATTCAAAAGAAACTCCACTTATGGGGAAAATTAGAAGGTGATAGTGCATACCCAGGGAAAGGTATAGGCTCAGAAAAGACTGGGAAGATCTTAGGTTTACACATCAAGGTGATCCCTGGCACAAAGACAGCTGCAACAATCAAAAGCAAGACAAAACAAAATGAAAAAGAGCAAACCCTGGGGACAGAGGAAATTCTGATTTCCAGAGCTGCCACACTGTTAGATTTAAATGTCCAGTTTTCAACAAAAATATCATGAAGCATGTGAAGAAACAGACAAGTATGGCCCACTCAAAGGGAAAAAAAAAAATGAATGGAGACTGGAAGGCCAGATGGTGGACCTACTAAGCAAAGACTTCAACCGTTTTAAAGATGCTCAGAGAACTAAAAGCAGACATGAAGAAAGTCAAGAGAACAATATGGGACAATATAGAAATACTAATAAAAAGATAGAAATCTAAAGAGAAACTGAAAGGGAATAGTGGAGTTGAAAACAACTCAGTAGAGATCCAAAGGCACATTAGAGCAGGGAGAAGAAAGAATCAACAAACTTGAAGACAGGCAATGGAAATGATCCCATATGAAAAACAGAAAGAAAAAAGAATGAAGAAAGGAGAACAGAGCCTGTGGGACATATAGGACACCATCAAGGAGAACAACACACATGTGGGAAAGCCCAGAAGGAGAAAAGAGAAGGAAAAGGGGGCAGAGAAATTATTTGAAGAAATAATGGCTGAAACCTTACCAAGTTGTTTTTTTAATTCCAAAAAGTTTGATGAAATACATACATATAAACATACAAGAAAGAAGCCTAGCAAACTCCAAGTAGAATGAATTCAAAGAGAGCCACACTGAGACACGTTATAACCAAACTGTTCAAAGACAAAGAATCTTGAAAACAGAGAGATAAGCAACTTATCACATATGAGGGATCCTCAATAAGATTATCAACAGGTTTCTTATCAGAAACTCTGGAGGCCAGAAGGCCAGAGGCTAGAAGGTACTGGGCGGATATACTCAAAGTGTGAAAAGAAAAGGAAAACAATCTGTCAAACAAGAAGCTTATATCCAGCCAAATCATTTCTCAAAAATAAAGGAGAGGGGTGTCTGGGTGGTGCAGTCAGTTAAGCATCCAACTCTTGGTTTCAGCTCATGTCATGATCTCAGGGTCCTGGGATCAAGCCCCGCATCGGGCTCTACACTCTGCAAGGAGTTTGCCTGAGATTCACTCTCTCCAGGATACCTGGGTGTCTCAGTCAGTTAAATGCCTGCTTTCAGTTCAGGTCATTATCCCAGAGTCCTGGGTTCAAGCCTGCATCAAGCTCTCCTGCTCACCAGGGGAGTCTGCTTCTTCCTCTCCCTCTGTCTCCTCCCCAACCGACATACACTTGTAATCTCTCTCTCAAATAAATCTTTTAAAAAAAGAGAGATTCTCTCTCTCCATCTCCTGTTTGTGCTGTCTCTCTCTCTCAAAAAATAAATAAAATCTAAAAATAAATAAATAATAAATAAATAAAATCTTTTTAAAAAAAAAGTAACATATAATGTGTTATTAGTCCCAGGGGTACAGGTCTGTGAATCTCCAGGTTTACATACTTCACAGCACTCACCATAGCACATGCCCTCCCCAATGTCCATAACCCAACCACCCTCTCCCTCCCCCTCTCCCCCCGGCAACCCTCAGTTTGTTTTGTGAGATTAAGAGTCTCTTATGGTTTGTCTCCTTCCCATCTTGTTTCATTTATTCTTTTCCTATCCCCCAAACCCCCCATGTTGCTTCTTGACTTCCTCATATCAGGGAGATCATATGGTAGTTGTCTTTCTCTGATTGACTTATTTCGCTAAGCATAATACCCTCTAGTTCCATCCACGTTGTCGCAAATGGCAAGATTTCATTTCTTTTGATGGCTACATAGTATTCCATTGTATATACACACCACATCTTCTTTATCCATTCATTTGTTGATGGACATCTAGGTTCTTTCCATAGTTTGGCTATTGTGGACATTGCTGCTATAAACATTCAGGGGCACGTACCCCTTCGGATCACTACATTTGTTATCTTTAGGGTAAATACCCAGTAGTGCAATTGCTGGGTCATAGGGTAGCTCTATTTTCAAAAAATATATATATATTTTTTTAAGATTCTGTATTTATTTATTTGAGAGAAAGCACAAGCAGGGGGAGTGGCAGAGGAAAAGGGAGAACCAGGCTTCCCGCTAACTTTAGGATGTTATATGTAATTGTCATGGGAACCACAAAGAAAACAGTTGTAGGGGTGCCTGGGTGGCTCAGTGGGTTAAAGCCTCTGCCTTCGGCTCGGGTCATGATCCCAGGGTCCTAGGATCGAGCCCCATGTTGGGCCCTCTGCTCAGCGGGGAGCCTGCTTCCTCCTCTCTCTCTCTCTCTCTCTGCCTGCCTCTCTGCCTACTTGTGATCTCTGTCTGTCAAATAAATAAATAAAACCTTTAAAAAAAAAAAAAAGAAAACAGTTGTAAAATATACACAAAAGGAAATGAAAAAAGGAATTCAAACATTTAAC